TCCCAATAAAAAAATATTTCAACTCAGAAATTTCTTGACAAGCCAAAAAAAAAAGAAATTCTTTTCACAAACGTGAAAAAACCTATTTCGTGTGTGTGTTTGTGTGCGTGTGTGTGTGTGTGTGTGTGTGGGGGGGGGGGGGTTCGTTGACTTTTAAAGCTTCATACCTAAGACTTTTCATACCATTTTAACACAGATCCGCGTTATCGAGGAAGGGTCTGCGTTTTCTAGGGGGGGGGGGATGTTACTTTTACTTGCTTTAGTATATACATTTAACTGCCCCCAACCCCCTCTAGATCCGCGCATGGGGTCATTTGAAAATAGTATTCTCAAGAACCCCTGGACTAGAATGAGAAAATTTCCAACATAGCATACGTTCATTTTATTTTTCAAATCTTGATTCCAGGGAGAAGGTTTGGGCCGGAAAGAGTGTTCATATTAATTTAACATAGGAATTTATATATCCCCCCAAACGAAGTGTGTTGGTTTGGGGTGGGGGTGTTTTGAGTCTTGGAATCACACTGTCCGTCTGCCTAGCTGTCCGTCTGTACGTGATAGTTTGCCCAGGATATAACTTTGTTATGAAGAAACTGGAAGGTCATACTTGGTACAAAGATTACTAATGATTCGAGGGTGTGTCATGGTTTTGATCCAACATCATTCCGGCAAGTTCAAGGTCACTTAAAAAAAATAGCAAAGTTTTGTCCGACTCATTTATCTGTAATAGAGAGTCACCGGAAGCTCACTGGATACAGGAATTGCTTATGACAAAAAGGGTTTGCCACGACCTTCATTCAAGGTCATTCCTGTAAGTTCAAGGTCACTGACAGAAAAGTGTAAGATTACTGTATGTGCTATAATTTTGGAAGCTCATACTAGGAACAAAGATTGCTTATGATCCACCGGTTTGAGATAACATAGTACTAGATTGGCAGAAGAAGTGGCAAAACTCGTGCCTGGATTATAAATTTATAAGGGGTGGGAGGAACACAGGAAACTTTTTCTCAGATTGCTTGAGATGGGTTTGTCCTGACCTTGAATAGAGGTTTTTCTCGCAAGTTCAAGGTCACTGGCAGATAAATATTAATTTTTTTTCCATGCAACAATTTTGTAATATAAAATCACTGGAAGCTATTACTTGATACAGAGATTGCTTATGATCCAAGGATGTGTTTTGACCTTGATCCAAGGTCTTTCTGGTAAGTTCAAGGTCACTGACAGAAAAGTGCAATATTCTTTTTCAGGAATATCTTGGTCATTGAGTATCACTGGAAGCTCATAATTAGTTCAAAGGTTGTTTTTGACCTTAAAATAGGTCATTTAGGCAAGTTCAAGGTCACTGATAAAATAAGTGTAAAATTCAAAAAGGTCTAGTCGCCCACGTGGCGCAGTGGTAAGAGTGTCTCCTCTAGAGTCATGGATTAAGGAGTTGATCCTTATGTCGCAGGTTCGAATCCCACTATGGGACGCAGAGACCGATCCTTCAGATGAGACCGTATAAACTGAAGTCCCGTCTGGCCGTAGGTGCTGGCACGAAAAAGATCCTTCACTGTTCAATGGCCATGAGTGCCGAGTATAGGTCAAAATTTGCAGATCTCCATCGGCAAATATGGTGGCGTCTCCACATGATTGAAAAATTCTCGAGAGGGACGTTAAACAACATACACACAAACAAACAAACAAAAAGGTCTTTAATTTTGTAATAGAAAAAATTGCATGCATTTGCATTTCACTGAAAAGATGATAAATATATCATCCAAAGTGTGTAATGGCCTTGACTTAAATTCGATGTCACTTAGAATATGATGTTTTGGATGAATAGTCTGAAAGAATACGTGACTGTGAATTTTTTTTTGTCGATGACATACAGATGGTGTTTGCTCTTAACCAGCTGCAGAATGTGTCCTGGCTTGACGCACGATTATTTGGACAAGTTCAAGTTCACTGACAGGGGAATTTTACATTCTTTTACTGTCTTTCTACTGTTGAAACATTGGAAGTTGATGCCCCTTACAGGATTGTTTATAACCTTAAAATGTTGCATGACCTTGACTCAAGGTCGCTATGTTCTGTCCGGAGCTCCGACGGAAGACCTATTTGTTGCATTGCAACGAGCTCGGCTCTAGTTTGAAACTTGTATTTGATTTGTGACATACTGACACATCTATTTTTTTCAGGGTTTTAATACTCCTTATGAAAATTGGAACTCCATTCATGGTATTATTCATTCAGTGTCATTGGATATCCATTTTTAATGTTCTACCTAACATAGTTAGTTGAAAAATCTATTTATATAATGATTATGTTTCAGTACTTGTAATTTTTTTTATTAAAGGTTTATTTTTTCTGCATTGTTTTTTTAATTAAAAAAAATAAGAAATGGTCTCTTTGCTGACATTTTGCACTGATTTACCGTTTTATTATATAAACATATCATAAGTACATGTACCTTTTCTGAAATGGCAAAGTCCATGTCAAGATAATGAAAAAGTCATGTTGGCACGAGGAACATTACCCTTTTGATGCGACCTGGATATACACCCTCATACAGTGTAAATTTGACATTAAGATCGGATGCAAATTCCTTAAAATGGTTAATAATCTATGTTTTTGCCACTATATAGAGAATAATACTAGTCTCGCTCAATCTGACTTTGGCTGTCTCCGTAAACTCCGACGAGCAGAGAGTCTAGTAAAGACTCGTGATAGCGTTTGAACGCCAAAACGAGGCTAATCGAAATTTTGGTAAAGTTTTTGATTGGCTGAAAAAAAAAACACACCTCCACAAGTGAAACAAATACCTGATAAATTGGCATAAAAATAACTTAAAAATTAAAAAAGTTGAATGTGAACACGTTATAACAGCTAGAAAGGAATTGTTTGCGGTATTGTCAACCGGTTATGTCTGAGTTTGTTATACACCGTCTTGTCAACTTGCCAACATTATTGTCGCAAGCAAAACTGAAAGTGTACCCTTTCAGTGCAGAACATATTTCGTCAATTGTTGTTGTTATTTCACCTTTGGTATCTCTAATGAAGGATCAATTTATCAATATAAAATCACAATCCAATAGAAGAAACACATCAACACTCACCCTCACACCCACACACAAATATATATATATATATATATATATATATATATATATATATATATATATATATATATATATATATATATATATATATATATATATATATATATATATATATATATATATGTAACATAGATAGATAGACAGATAGATAGATAGATAGATCGCGGTTTAAAAAGCGCAAACTGTCCCTACCCAGTTTATACTGTATAAATTGGGTAGCTATTAAATTCACTCCTTGTCATGATCGGGAAAAACGGAAAAATCCGTAGACAATTCAGTGTGTAAATAATGGCATAACAATTGGTATGAAAAACGTCAGTCAGCATTTGACTTTATGATAGATTGTATTTGCTGACAAGGTCATTGCATCGACCATAAAACTTGCGAAATGATGACTTCAATTAAGACTGTTGATATCCTTGTTTCGTCATCTTGTTTGTAAATAGCTTGCTTCGTTGAAGAATTGCTCATACGTAGAGCATACTCTTGCGTATCGAATCAACTGGGAGACAAAAACCTCATATACAGGTAATTAGGGTATAATGCTACATTAGTAGGGGAAGTTGACAATTGAAAAATTGAAGTTATCTCGTTTATCATAAAGCTTTGTTGTTAGCTTACAATTCAAGTCCTTTTTCTAGTAAAATATTCAAGTATGAAATAGATGTGTCAGACTTTGTGGTATCTTTTATTTCAAGGGATATATCGAGTCGACATATGAATGGAAATAACTATTGTTAATTGATAATTTGTCGTGTTTGGTTGAAGTTTCATGTATAAGATTTTGAATTAATTCTGCTTCATATGAATACAAAAATAGGTTTGCTTAAGGGGGTGCAATTGTTACCCATGGGAATTCCAACAGATTATTGAAAGAACTGATCTCCAAAAACTACATAGATATTGTCAATCAGAACTCAAGCATCTTTTTAATATGAACTTCAGAGTACTTGTGTGTACAATCAGAATGCTTTTTAACGAAATAATTTTGCAAATGACTAATGACAAGGTATGTATATTTATGATTTCCATTTTTATTGAAAAAGCAGCTGTCTATTATGTCAAAAAGCCAGGACTTTAATTTATCGTGGGAATGGTTGTATAAAGTGTTGAAAAGTCGTACGTTTTGATGTTATTGATTTTGTTAAAATTTTGTAATTTGAAATTTTCTAAAGGCTCCCTTGAGTTTTTAAGTATCCACATATGATTTATACCACTTCTCGAATATACTGTTGTACAGTATTCTGAAGTTTCTCCTTCACTGCTGTAAATATTTTAGTGAGTAGTGAAGAAAGAATCTTGGTAGAAGATTTACTGGAACCGGCTATATATCTTTGTTTGTAAGGATTGTTTATGGAGTCTTGGAATCCAGTAGAGGTATGATAATTCAAATTCATTTTGATTGATGGGAATATTAAAAATATTTAAAACTGACATATGAGATATGGGTTTGAAGAATTTCCTCCTTCATTTACAAATCATTTTACAATACAACAAATGCATTCGTGTGTGATGGTAAACGAGGAAGGAAAGGAAGAATTCCGATTTATACTTTCATCTTGGAAACTGTAAAGGGTCATTAGAGCTACAATTCTAGGTGTCTATTTTATTTTTATCTATCTACTATCAAGTTCGGTATACCAATATATAAACCTATTTTCATTATTATCTAAAGTAATTTTAAGTGTAATTCGATATTAAAATGAACATATTGCGTGGAGAGAGTTTATCACAGGTGCTTGTTTTATGATAAGCTTTTATATGTATAAAAGCAATAAACGTGTTACAAGGTTTTTGTTGTGTTTTGGTGTATTAACCGATACAAGAAGATGCTGACAAATCTTAGAGGTGCTTGGACAGTCCTTCTTGTGATCTGTAATGCTTCTTGTCCTGTGTCTAAAGGGAAAATAATACAGTCAGACACACGAACAGAACTGGACTCCCTTAAGTCCTTGATCTACAGTAATGCTAAAGCTACAGTCACATTGGATTCCACAGCACTAGAGAAACTGGCCAAACTCTCGACCTCAGGTATAATTGAGAGGTTTCGATAAAGAAATATTTCTATACTTTGCATTAGGAAGAATAAAAGTTTATTTTAATTTAATTTATACCTTTTTTCCTTAAATTTCAATTTCAAAGACCTGTCTACAGTATTTCGAATACTTGCTTCAAATTGCATGCTACTTACAAGTAGTATTTATTTCAGCTTCTTCTCATCTGACACCAAGAGTAAGTTTTTCTGTCAACGTCAGATCTAGAAGGCTCACTGTTGGAAATGAACAGACCATAGAATTTGATGGAATTTTAACAAATGATGGTAACGGATATGATGACAGAACAGGGGTATTTGTGTGTCCAGTGGCGGGAACGTACATGTTTGTTTTTGACTGTCTGTGCTATTTAGAAACACAGCTTCACATATTAGTGAATAAGGAAATAGTAGCATCAGCATATAAAGATCCTAAAGGATGGAACCAAATTAGCAGAACAGTTATCGTAAAACTGAAGCAAGGTGACCATATGAAGGTAGAATTTAAACTCAGTGCAGGAAGGAACGCAAAAATACACCAGGATGAATACTCAGGATTTGTAGGAATGCTACATTACTAATATGGAGACGTTTTTGAAAAGCAATTAAGGAAAATACCACTTGTTGATTAGACACTGCCATGAAATAAAAGAAATATTTGACTAGATTTGTACTAAGTAAATGTAAAAGAAGCAAAAAAAGCTACTGTATTATTCTTTTTTTTTTTTATTTAGAATACCATGCACGAATCTCCTGATTCTTAAAATTGTAACATTACATGTATAATATATAAATGCAAGTGTGATGTAAATGAATTGCTAATGACGTAACGTAGATTTAAAAATTCCAAATATAAATTTAGGTCTATAAGCAGATTCAAGTTATCATATCACCTCAGACCAGTTTAGATAAAATTATTTCAGCTTTTTCTTCTATTTTCAAGGCGGAGGTTGTCTCAAAGACTTGTGATTTGTTTATGCTACTTACTTCATGATTGCAAGGAAACAAAGCTTTTTTTTCGTTTCACTTACATTAGCATGCCCTTACTTAAATACTTTAACCTAACCTCCCAGTTGTATAGTTATGCAATTAGTAACACTATAGAAGAAATCGTGGCTGATTTGAGTTAATGTTAAGATTTTATTTCTTAATTTGGTCAAACACCTTTTCCTGTATCTCAACGAATAGCAGATAAGCTATACTTACATTTATAATTTCTTTATTGCATAATACACCCATATGGGTCAAGCAATACAATCCAACATAAAAAAGACCCAGAAAACAATGAATGTTTATAAACAGTTTAAGTAATTTATTCAATATATGTTACACCGATGTGGACCTTTTACTTCTTAAGTGCAAACGGCCGGTATAACTTCAAGTGATCATGATGGACTAAGTATATATTCAAATTTTTATAAGGGTGATTTGAGATAGAATAAGGAACAATTATCTATCATGCTTTTCATAAGTATATTCCTTGCTTGTATATTACAATTAAATTGTAAAAAGAAATGAAATTCATCATCAACAGCATTACATGAAGTGCATAATCTTTTTTGTCGAGGTATTTTCTCATGTCTACCAGTTTTTATCAGTAGGCAGTGGTCACTTCGAAATTTAGTAAATAAAAGAATTCTGTAACGACAATTTTCGAATTTTGGTACCGTTCACGGTAAAGCGCTCGCTCCGTGATCGGGTGGTCGTGAGTTCGAATCTCGGCCGCGACTGACCTAAGTCGATAAAAAATCGGTAGCAACTGTTCCTTCGCCATGCGCTCGGCACTTTGAAGTGAAAGTTGCGGGTCCTTCGGATGAGACCTTTAAAACCGAGGCCCCGTGTCACGGTAGGCGTTGGCACGATAAAGGTCTCTCACTGCTCAAATGCCCTGAGTGCTGAGTAAAGGTCAAAATTTGAAGCCCTTCACCGGTATATGGTGACGTTTCTATATGAGTAAAAAATTCTTGAATGGGACGTTAAACAACAAACAATCAATCAATTAATCATTCGAATTTTAGTTCACATATTAAAAATTATAGACTCATTATCCCCTTTAATAAGACATAATGTTTAAACACATGTATACGTCATGTTGTGAAATACCCTGACATATCTGGGCTTTTCATATTCTGAAAAAAAGATAACGCCGTTAATTGTATTATGAAATATAAAGATGTGAAGATAACAATGTGAAAATAACAAGCCGTAATCATGTTCAAAACCTCAATAAAAAATTGTGAGCAGAGCAAACACTGACCTCTGAAAACATCTGAGGTGGGATCAGGTGCCTGTTATTTCATGGAGGACAATGCCTGCTATTTAAGCACACTTGTTTAATGATAAGGAAGTTTATAATCTTACATAAAATTGTTTAAAGATATACAAGATTTTGACGCAAAATGTCGTCTAAACATGGACATAGCTATACAAGCTATATGTAGTGTAACTTGCCAGAATTTTCATACAATCCGGATTCGACTTTAACTTTTACTATGTATAACATACTTCCATACACATGGTTTATACACATGCCTTACAGTGTTTTTGTGCCATAGAACACCATAGGAGTAAGTAGTTATTGTTATAACTATGTATGCTTTGAACGGTATCATAGTATCATCATTTTGCTTAGATATTTTCTGCATTTAACCAGTATTATCTTATATTTTGAAATGCTGAAAAGTTTGTTTCTAGGTAGGCCTATTGTAAAATATGGATTATCCTATGATTTATGTTATAATTTTAGGAATGCAACTGTTTTATGAAATATTAGCTATATAAATACAATTATGCTTTAACTTAGATACGGACAACGTAAGCTATTTAGTGTAGTAAATTTCTGCCGTGAGTAAGTAGAGTTTTTCATGTAATTTTGGAAAATGGCATAGTATAAATTATGGAATGTCAGTGTATCTGATATGTCAGCTGTTAAATGTCTGTATTTTGAATCTTTACTTTATTGTAACACATTGGTCATTTGCAAAATTATTTTGTTAAAAAACATTCTGATTGTACACACAAGTACTCTGAAGTTGACATTAAAAAGATGCTTGAGTTTCTGATTGACAATATCTATCTGGTTTTTGGAGACCAGGTCTTCCAACAATCTATTGGAATTCCCATGGGTACCAATTTTGCCCCGTTATTAGCAGACCTTTTTTGTATTCATATGAAGCAGAATTTGTCCAAAATCTTGTACGTGAAAAGAGGAAAACACTTGTTGTGGCCTTCAACTCGACATTTAGATATATCGACGACGTATTGTCAATTAACAATGGCTATTTCCATTCTTATGTCGATACGATATATCCTGGTGAACTTGAGATAAAAGATACCACAGAGTCTGACACATCTGTTTCATATTTGGAAATTTTACTTGAAAAAGACGTTAATGGTAATCTAACAACCAAGCTTTATGATAAACGTGATGACTTTAACTTTTCAATCGTCAACTTCCCTTACTTATGCAGCAATATACCTTCATCACCTGCATACGGGGTATATATATCTCTCAGTTGATTCGATACGCAAGAGCATGCTCTACGTATGTACAATTTCTAAAACGAGGTAAATTATTGACAAATAAGTTGATGAAACAAGAATATCAGCTGTCTCGTTTAAAGTCATCATTTTGTAAGTTCTATGGTCGATACAATGACCTTGTCAGCAAATACAATTTATCATTGAGTCAAATGCTGACTGACGTTTTTCATACTAATTGTTAGGCCATTATTTACACACTGAATTGTCGACGGATTTTTTCCGTTATTTCCCGATCATGACAAGGAGCACACGGCGGATGTGACTGGTGGGCAGGGGATGCTCACTCCTCCATGGCACCTGATCCCACCTCTACTGTTTGGAGGTCCGTGTTTGCTCTGCTCCTATTTTGTAATGTTTAATGGACTTTTGAGCTTGAATACTGTTCGTTATCTCCATATATTTCATTGTAATTATTTGTTACAGTTTTCACCCTCTACGAGGAGCAATAAATAAATTCTGGTCAGCCTGAGTTTGTACTTGCACACTATACATTGATAAAGTAAAAAGATTGATTGATTGTATTTTGTTTTACGTCCAATTCGAGATTTGTTCACTCATTTGGAGAAATTAAAGTGAAAAGAATATAAGCATATAAGCCTCATCGTAACAAATTCGTATCTTTTTAATAGAATACATGTTGTGATACCTAAAAAAAATGGATTTACATAACTCTTGAACAGTGACTCCATTTACAACAAATGCATTTTAGAACATCTCTCAGGCCAATGTGTTAATTACAAAATAGCAATCATCTAGCATTCTCACAACATCAGAGGTCCTGAGTCCACTCGTGGTTGTGGAACCCCTGACCAAACTTCATTCATTTAAATAACAAATCCCGATTGTTTTCTTATCTCTCGACCAATCACATTAAGTCTTTTGGTGGCATTTTAAAGAACCTGCAGCACGTGCAGTGCATTGAAGTGTCAATGCCTAACTTTCTTTTTTCAACTACATTTGATTGGTAATTCTCTATGAAAAAGCAAGACCGAAAAATGGGAATGAAGTATGGCAGCATTGCGCGATAGAGTGAACTCAGGATCCATGACGCTGTGATGCTGATACTCATTTAGTTTAATTTAAAACAACTTAATTAATAACATTGAACAAGTACATGTATCTTAAAATGTTTACCTGATTTTTTTTTTTACTATTTATAAGATACAATTTACAAACTATATCATTTGATATGCTGATATATGCTAGCATTTATTAAGTTTTTTTAAAAGTGAAATAAACTTGCTTCAATTCACTGTAGGGCATTCTGAGACAAGAAACAATGTCATTTTCGTATAATCATATGCAAGCATTATCTGAAGTTTCATGTTTTGCTGTCTGACATGTACAAAAAAGTACCTGGTCCAGTAACTAAGGCCAAATAATGCCAAGACTGCAAAGATCGGTTATTTCTTAAATTTATATTAAAAACTTATCTTCTCGGGCCTTCCAAGCTAATGTCTTATGCAAGTGTCCACCCTTTAGACAGCATTGAAATAACTGTAGGGAACCTCTTATCTATATGGAACCTGAAGCTAATATACTAATACCAGTTTACAGTATATTGTGCTATACTATATTATGCATACTATACTCATTACTATAGGTGCCCATTGCTTCTGCTAATCTTTTAAAATTATTGTATTTTCTGCTTCAATACTGAAATTACAGTGAACGACAGACTACTCATTAAAGCACAATGATGCAACTAAGACGCGAATCTCACTGGAGCTCTACCATTTTGAATTGAGACCCCAAAGTGTAACAATGTCTTCCTCTTAATATCAAATCGGTCCATTTTAATTGTTATGTTTTTAGAAAAGTATAATTCGTCCACTGTTAACAAATATGAACCAAAAATTTTTTAAAAATGCATGCAAAGTCATTTTACATAATTTAGTTTGAAAATTTGACTTTACAGCAAAATTGATGTAGAACAGACAAACAGTGGTGGAGTATTGAGACAACAGCTGTCATAAATCTCCATGGTTGTGGGAGAGGATAAACTAAACACCCCACAGTAATCGCTGCCGCATGGATTCATTCCGGAGTCGAAAT